CTGTGTATTCAAAGTGGTTAGGGTAGATTATATATAGTTACATTCTGTTAATGAATAGAGGGATTTGTTCTAATGGTGTTTGTAAATAGGATATCAAGTCTGCATCTTGTACAGCAATTAACCACTAGGAAGAATGTATGCAATGTGTTAATTATTGAAACTGTCCTACCAATTTGGTTTGAAACTGTCTCATTGTTATTTGTGTCTCAATAAAATTATGGAAAAAAATGTTCAACATTACTGGTCACTTGAGAGATGCAAATTAAAATGATGCTGAGATTCCCTCTCATTCCAGAAAGAATGGCTAATATCAAGAAATCAATCAATAATGAATGCCATCATAGCTATGGGGGAAAAGGAACATCCTCCACTGTTGCTGGAAGTGTAGACTGGTGCAACCGCTGTGGAAATCAGTGTGGAGACTCCTTAAAAGACTAGAAGTATAGGTTCCATTCAACCTAGCCACTCCCCTTCTTGGTATTTTCCCAAAAGAATTAAAAGCGTCAAACCACAGCAATATATGCACACCCACGTTTACAGCAGAACAGTTTATGACAGCTAAATCTTGGAAACATCTCAAATGCCTAACAATTGATGAATGGATAAAGAAGATTTATGGAATTTGTTTCTACAATGGAGTACTACTCTACCATAAATGATAAACTTGAGAAATTTCTAGCTAAATGGCTACATCCCAAGACTATATTCTTTTTGTTGTTTGTGTTTGTTTTTGTTTTTTGTTTTTTGTTTTTGCCAAGACTAAAATAAATTGAATGCACATGCTTAAACACCTACCATACTGTTTCTCTGACCATTCTAGAATCTCAAACCTATTGGCTTTCAGACTGAACTAATCCCACCAGTCTTCCTGGGTCACCGCTTGCTGGCTGCAGATCTTGGGATTTGTGTTTGTAGAACAAGCCAATTCCTTAAAATATAGGCAGTTTTAGGGGATCCATCCTGCACCACTCCTTTGAACTTAACACTCCAGCTACAAAGTACCTACTGAGATTCACCAGGCTTACTTCTGCCTTCAAGCCTCTGTTCTAGTTGTTTTCCTCAACCTAAAGGACTCTTCCCCCAAGAACACCTAAATAACAGCTACTTTCCTTGAATCTTCCAAGCTACATTCAAACATCACATTCTCAAAGTAATCTCAGATCCCCAACTTCCAATTCCCCCGTATTCTCTGCGAATTGTTCATTTATCATAGCACAGCTTAATACTAATAAATATTGTATACCAGTCATAGAGTCTCCTAATACAATATTATTTTTCTTGCCCTACTAGAATGTAAATTTTAGCCTATTTTGTTCACTGATACGTCCCAAGCGCCTAAAGAGGCGTCTGGTATACATTAGGTTAAACGAATAAATCTGCATAATGACACGTTGTGATGCTGTCAAGCACAAAACTCTTTTAAAAGGAATTTTTAACATCACTTTCCCGCATCGGTGTAAAACAGGAACTGCAACCTTTGAGGTGCTCTGTAGCTCCGCCTAGAGGCATCTATGTAGACAGCGTTTCGTTCTTTCTTTTCAAAGGCGGCCCCAAGTGTACTCGGAACTATAGAGGCTGCATCTCAGTGGGTAGACATCGGACCGGAAGCAAAGAGCACAAACTCCGGAAAAAAATTACAACCAACAGGAAGTGTAGGGTCAGGGACGCATCACACTAACCAATAGGCACCAAGGTACAGGTCACGAGGGACATACTGAGCCTATCAGGCTCCGAATAGTCACCAGGTGACGCCCCCGTCTTCTCCAGGCTTCCTTTCTCGTCAAGATGGCTACGCCGGCCGTGTCCGCCAGCGCGCCTCCTGCCGCTCCTGCCGCAGCCTCGGACCCCGCGGTCGCCTCAGCCCCAGCCCCCGCTCCTTCGCCCACGCCCGCTGCAGCGTCGGCCGCGGCTCCGACGCCGGCCTCGTCTGCAGATCCGGCGGCAGCGGCGGCTTCGCCGGCGGCTGCTGGCCAAACCCCG